TGCTAAGTTGTAAGCGGCACTCAACACGAATACTTTCAAAACTTACATCTGTAGTCAATAAAATAACTGATTTTGCGCACTTCTGCATGGCTGCTGTGATGAAATTTCTCAATCAGAAATATCCTTATGTAGATCACAAACTACCTAACTTCAAAATGTGGAGACAGAATTTTATATACGCTACGAGTCTTTCCAGGCGATTTAAGTTAGTCTCTGGGTGAGGGCAACTGCTCATGGTTTACACTAGTTTTTTGAGAAGCCTCATGAAGGTGACCAATCTGCGCCACCACGCCTTGTGGTTATATGTTCTCATCACGGAGAGAGGCGTGTTCCTCGCTATCTTCCTGAATAATGTAGGTGGAGGATATGACTTTGGATGACCAGTTCCTGAAGCGAGTTTGCTTGCGATAGATAGGTTCGGTGGCCAGTTATATTAACACATCCAGGCAAGGTAAATTCTAGCAAAATTCGACTTTAGTGGCGAACGTATAAGGGGTGCATCCAGCATATGACATGAAATCAAACTTCAAGAACTGAACACGCATGCAGCTGTCACTCAGCTTTATTAAATGATCAGGACTGTCTGCCACTTCTTTCGATTTATAAGGCCTCTCAAACCATCCATTTGTTTCTAGTGAAGTAGAAGACCTTCGGAACAGGCCACGGCTATACACTACTACAAACCATGCACTAAACGATGTAAAACTGCACCACTGGGCTAGCCCGGACAACTTGTTCAGACAAAATCATAAGTTGTAATATTTGTCATACAGATAAAGGTCTAGGTCCAGCAACTGGTGCTGGCTTGTGACGGATACCCCCGGGATAACACGACAATCTCTGACACTCTTCTATTGTTCCATCAGAGAAGGAAATACTCGATATCACTTTTCATCTGGTTTTCTCCTTTCTGAAAGAAACTATTAATCAAAGCTAGATCAAATGCAACTGCCGTCGTTCCCTCCTTGGGCATTTAACATACAATATTCATATCCGCCATGAAACTTGCTGTAGACCATTCTACATTTTCCGACATGTACTTTAAGGTTACCCTTGTCCATTACTTTATCTTGCAATGCAATGTCTTGGCTATTAAAAATTTTCTATTTTCCGGCCTGATTTTAACCAGTCTGCAGGATGCAGGCATTTACTAGACTTAAGACACCACTTTCCAAAATCCGCGTAACATCCATGATTCTGAAGCTTTCGGTTGACCTCAATTGTTGTCAACCTTGTCTTTATTCGTTTCATTCAATACCACTCCAACTCCATTTCTTCTGCTTGATGTTTCACTGTAATTGAGTCAATAGATCTTTCCAACTTCTTTCACCTCTCGGTTTCGTCCCATGAAAGCAAGTGATATAAACAATTTTTCTTTAAAGAGCTTTCGCTATTCCCAAAACCTTTTTCATAATTATTCATCTTCGTCTTCCACGATTGCCCCTCCTTTCGGTTCGCGGAGGCAGACTCGTGAAACAGAGCATCCAACGTTTCTGATCCGGTGCCAGAGTCTGAGCGTCGGCAGAAGACAACTGCAGTCCGGAACTGACTCCTTCCATACGTTTGCAACAGGGTTAATCTTGGCCGTCCCCTGGGCATTCTGCCGGTTGGTTTGGCAACAAATAGTTGCTGAGCCTTCCTTTCCGGAGGCATTCGCAACACATGCCCAAACCACCGCAGCAA